ATGGGAGCCTAGTGACGCAGGAAGGTATAAGAACTAAGTGGTTTGTCAGACATGATTGAATCTTTGTTGTAAGATCCAAAGCCCAACATTCAATCCTGATATTTACCGTTTGGAAGTAGCATCAACTCAGTATTACCCAGATTCCCAATACTTCACAACTGAAAACAGTGTATTCCTGAACAATTCCCAGCCCTCAAAAGGATTCCTGTCACAAGTACACAGGGAACTTACGGATGGCCACACTGTGGAGTAAGGCATATCAGACCAGTGGTGTATTTAGTCTGGTACCAGATATTTCAGAGGACTGTGCATGAAATGCTACAGCAGACACATGTGGAATAACTTGCCCTTGGGAATTTTTCCTCCTAACCTGAACACATGGCTTTTGCCCCAAAACAGAATGGCTTACAACCCTTCCAAACTACTTTACTCGTTTAATAGTCCTTCTTATATTTCTAGATGGTCTCGATAGCCATATAAATGTCTAGTATCTTTTTAATCCTGCTAAACTCGTGGCCTCGACAATGTCTTGTGACAAGGAGTTCCAGCTACTAACAGGGCTTTAAGTAATATATATATAAAAAAACATCTTTTCATTGATTTGAATTTGCTGTTTTGATTGAATTGAAAATCTGCTTTTTCTTGAATTATAAAATGGAAAATAGAAGTTCCTGATCTATATTCTCTAGACCATTCTCTACTAGATGGGCATCTGCCTTCTGATTTGCCTCCTCTCTGAAATGGGCGGTCCTCTTTTTTCAGTCACCACTCGTAGCAAATGGTTTCCAGGCCCTTAATCATGATTGTCAGTTCTCAAAATTTCACATTAACGAGCATGCACTGATATGTGGGGGTCCCAGGCAGGTGAAGAGGTTAGAAAGGAGTTGAGATTTTCCCTCCCACATCACTAATTCGCAATTTAAAACAGCGGTCGAGTGAACTGGAGCTATTTCAAAGGCAGCAAGTGCCAGACACTTCAGATTGAAACAGCAGAGAAGGCAAGACTTTTAAATGGTATAAAATCAATTAAATGCAATGAATAAATGACTATAAAGGAGCTCAGCTCCATTAAGGTTGTGAGATCAAGCACACCAAATTCAGAAACCCTAAAAAGATAAGGTTGCTTTGGCAACCCTAATCTGCCTGTATATTTTATGATATACTGCACATTAATAGCGAAGGGCTTATATTATGGCTAACAACTAACAAGGGGCAGTTTCCAATGGACTTAACTTGATAAAAGCAGTAACAAATATCTCTAACAGAAGCCTTGTTGAGGATGTTGTCCAAGCCAAATTTGAAACAACCACCATTTTTGTAGCTTTGTCTAAAGGTACTCCTAGATTTTTTTAAAAATTTGGGAAAGTTTTTTTCCCTTACCCTCCTATAAAATAAAATGACTAATATGACTTAGCTCTGATTTTCCAAAACTAGGTAAAGATTGTGAAAAGACCAGGCCCGGGAAAGGCCAACCCTCACTCCTTGTGCACAACAACAATGTATGGGAATAAACTCTGGTCTGCGTGTGTATAAGCAAGATCCTCACTTAAGTGGTACAGTTTGCACCGACAAGGAACTGCAGGCACAAAATGATACGAGTGTAACTTCTGCACATTCAAAAGGCAGGTGACTACTGAATAACTGCAGGCGAGAAGCACGCCACGCTTAGAGGAACTCGCAATAGCACACACACAAATTCCGATGCTAAAAAAATCTGTATTGAAAACTAAGGAAACTGAACTAGATGTGGGCAGGACAAGAGACATTAGAGAAAGAAAAGATTTACTAGAGCCCTCTGGCCATTCATCTTCTGGTGGCCAATACGAAGCTGGTTCCTCCCATGTTTTGTCCAGACTCTGTTATTTCAATTGTCTCTGGCCCATCAGACTTTCCAAACCCTGTATTGTTTTGATTTTTTTTCTCTGCACCTCCTCAAATATCTTCTGCATGTACAGGATGTGGGCTTGGAAGGACTCCATTTCTATCAGTAAATGGCTATAAACGATTTTACCACACACACACGCCCACACACACACCCACACACAAAATGAAAAAAATATTTCCTTTGATAGTGGCTGCTTCAGAACTTTTATTAGCGTTTCAGTCAAGGATCTCGACCTCGGACATTTTTACATGGGATATGGATGATTTGCGTTTTAAGGGTTATAAAAGCGTTACGTTTTTGAAGCTCAGTGATGACTGGTATAAAATAATTATCACCTGACCACTTTCACATATGGCGAAAATGTATATGGATACAAAATGTTTATTTTTAAACATCAAAATTATCCATCAGAATTATAAAGCAAACAAAATTTTAGTTCTGCCGAGCCTAACAATATGTAAGTCTTGTAGTAATGACACTTGAGTAGACACATTTACAATAAGAGGACTGGTTATCCAGGAGTCTTCCAAAGATGGGCTGGCTACTTAGAATTGCTAAAGACCATCAAGACATGCAATGGGGCATGCTCCTGAGCTACTGTCATTATTTATTACTTTTAAGCATCCAGAAGTTCTAAGTAAGTGAGAGCAACAAATTAATAGACAACTAAGAAGTGTGGGAAGTGAATACAGGGAAAGACAAATGACACTCTTCAGATGATCAAGTGACACTGGCTTAGTTATGGAGGAACGAAGGATACGACAGGGCAGTTGGGAGAGAAGAGCTTATCTGTGCCATGCTAGGAGGTGCTCTACCTCAGTGTTTCTCAATCAGTGGTACTAGTACCCTTAGGGGTACTCGAGAGAAGTCTGGGGGGGTAACGTCAACACAACTGAAATTTGAGAAAACTGAAATTTTGTTTTAAGTTTTACAGCGCTTTATTATTTTTGTATTTTTTACACCCAAAATGTCATCGCCCACCCAGCTATGATTAAATTGTTTAAACAAATGTGTTGCAATGGTAGAAAAAAGTGTGTGTGTGTCTGAAAACTCTTGGTACTGGGGATACTTATAATTTTTTTTTTAAAGGGGGTACTTTATAAAAAAAAAGGTTGAGAAACGCTGCTCTACCTGATGGATTAAACTTTATTTATTAGTAAACAGACAGGAATTGCGCATGTGAACAAATGGGGGAAGGGGAGCAAAAGCACAACAGAATGCTTTAAAAGAGGAATTGAGCAGTGATTTCAGCTGCCCAGTGTCAGGGAGCTAGAGGTGCCAAGATAAGAGCATCATGTCCAGAGAAGATCTATTATACTCCAGTGCTGCTGCGCACCCTTTGAAGAATAATGAGAAAGCCCGACTGACAACAGACTCAGGCCCTGGCTACATGGAGGTGAGCGAATTAGCGCACACTGAATTTCTTTGCACTAACTGGTGCATATTAAGAAGTCTCCGACAACTACGTATTCTCTATAAAATGGTTTCGATCCCAATACAGATCAGTATGTAAACATAGCATGGGCTTTGTGCAGATTAAGTGGGCATCCCATGATGATTTAATCATAAAATCATAGAATTCTAGGACTGGAAGGGACCTCGAGAGGTTTCGAGTCCAGTCCCCTGCCCTCATGGCAGGACCCAGACTGTCTAGAACATTCCTGATAGACATTTGCTTCACTGCTGCACTCTGTGAATTCTGGTTGTTCTGTCTCTGTGCCCCGGAGACACAATGGGGAAGTAAGCCAGAAACGACTGAACTTGTGGGCTTCGGGGTCAAATTCAACAACTTCTGTGATTCCTCTCCTGCCATCCTGTGATTTTTCTCTTGTGCGTGAGCATGCGCCAGCCGGCCATCTTCTGTCTCCTATCACGGATGGAGCAGTGTTCCAGCCTTCAGGCCCTACAGCCGACAACCACCACCACAGAGATGCCGGCGGAGGGTTATATGAGGTCTTGCCACAAGGTGGCGGTGGCTTTGGCAGCGGGGCGCAGGCAAAGTTGTTGGAAGACATTCCATTGAGTTTATCTGCATCTGCTCTCAGTGTCCTACAGCTTGGTCAGCACTGCAGTGGAAACGGTTTCACCTCCCCCACAAAATGACAGCCCAGCACAGATGAAAGGAAGATAAGATTTAGGATTGTACAGCTCAGTTACAGCATTAGGACAAAGTGCTAATTAATCACATGACAGCCACGAGTACAGTCCAAAACCTTCAAAAAACCTGCCAGGTAAAATGTTCACAAAGGCCAGATTTTCAAAGTTATGAGACACTTAAATCATGGACTGGAGTTAAGCAAATACCAAATACTTTTAAAAAGCAGGGTCTAAGTGACGTAGGAGCCTAACCCCTATTTTCAAAAGGGCCTACGTCTCATTAGTTTCCTGAGGGTATGTCTACATGAATTTCCTGAGGTAGACTTTTAGCATCCGATTTTATGAAGTTGAAGGTGCACATCCTCACAGAGGGTATGTCTAGACTACATGCCTCTGTCGCCAGAGGCATGTAGATTAGGCTACCAGACATAGTAAAATGAAGCGGCGATTTAAATAATCGCCGCTTCATTTAAATTTACATGGCTGCCGCGCTGAGCCGACAAACAGCTGATCAGCTGTTTGTCGGCTCAGCGCGGCAGCCATGTAAATTTAAATGAAGCGGCGATTATTTAAATCGCCGCTTCATTTTACTATGTCTGGTAGCCTAATCTACATGCCTCTGGCGACAGAGGCATGTAGTCTAGACGTACCCTAAGCACATTTGGTGGATGGAGTGCATCCCTGCTACCATCGACTCTTACAGTGAGGCACGGTGAATAGCCACCCCACCGTTCCTGCCACCCATTTGAATTGTGAGTTAGTCTCCCAATGCCTGATGGAACAAAAACATTGTCACGGGTGGTTCTGAATACATGTCATCAGCCTCCCATGACGCATTTAAATCCTCTCCCCCTCCTTGAAAGCAAAGGCAAACAATCATTTTGCATACCTTTTCCCCAGTCATCTCTGGCTCCCACCTAAGAGAAGGCTCCTACCCCCGAGACTGGCACCGGACGAAGACAGACCTGCCACAGCTATTCACATCAGAAACCAAAGGTGAGAGGAACCAGTCACATACCTGCTTGAAGAGCTTCTCTTCCCCGTACTGCTGCTCTCATCAGCCTAGAGAACAAAAGACAAAAAAGGCTGGTTAGGGTCAGACAGTGCAGAGACTCTCACTTTGTAACTTTTCCCCCAGAACAATCTCTCTCTATATTTTAGACAGTTTGTAAGTCTGGCTGGCTGAGTCCGTTTGTTCAAGAACTCCTCCTAAACGGTCAGGGCTAGGACCACCAAATTTGGGAGGCAGCTTCCTCTTCTCCTAACTTAAAGCAAAGCCAAGGTGTGGTTGGGCCAGGACAGTGGGATATGCCTGGATTCCGGAAATAACCCGGAAAGGGAGGGGGTTGAGGGCAGGAACGGCTATGCTCCACAACGACCCCTGGGGGGCAGGGAGTGCAGGGGACAGTTTTACTGCAGAGTGACCAAAAGGATTGGCTGCACCAGGAAGAAAATGGCCAGAAGTCTCTATATTGCCTCGGTTAAGTGCCCCCCTAGTTCTCCAAACCACTCCCTTCCCAGTCCTCAGCCCCAGAGCCACATGGGACCCACCCCACCTCAGGAGCTTCCAGGGCCAGCACATTCAGTCCTGTCCCAGCCCCCTGAGGACCTGCAGGGGTTAAGCCGGGCAGCTCTGCCTTCCCTCCCTGAGGACCTGCTGGACAGCCTCCCCCCTCTGCTGCAGAAGAGCTGCCAGGATTGGGGTGGGAAGCCCCCTCAGGAGCCCGTAGCTGGGGCTGGGCCACGCAGCCCATCCACCAAGGGTCTGCAGACCCTCCCTTCAAAGGAGCCCATGAGGAGGAGGCAGCTGCAGTGATGTCCTTGCTGCTGCAGGTGATCCCAATGAGCCCCTTAGACCCCTGCCTTGACTCCTGCACCTGCCCGCTAGTCTCGGCAGGGGTGAGTGCCAAGAAGCAATGGGGAGGGGAGGGAAGGGAAGCAGTTTCATGGGATCAGTTCAGGGAGGTGCTCCATCTGCGAGGGCCAGCATGGGAGGAAGCGCAGGTGTGTGTGGGAGTCCCAATGGGAAAAGGGAGTCTGGGCCCTGAACTGTGGCAAGCCACGATCGGAGCCCGGAGCCCTACGGTGATGAGGAGTGAGGAGATGAGCTCCCTCCCCGTTTTCCACACCAAAGCGTCTTAGGATCATTTTAGGGCTGTGTTCATCTCTCCTGCACAGCCCATGTCTCCAAGCGGGGCTACTTTGGCCCAAACTCAGACACGTTTTCTGCAGAAATTAAAATATAAATAGCCGGCTAAATGGCAAGTGAGAGCAGCCTTCAACTCCCTGGGGGGGAGGGGGGGGGGGGGGCCAAAGGGG